TATATATATATATAATTGTTATAGAAGAATGTTAAATTTCACATGTACATTTAAATACAGAGTGTATATTTTGCATTTTATTAATCTGTTTCTATAAATAACGTACTTAATAATATTTTAATTCTTTTCTTATAAACATAATATGTATAAGTATATAATCTATTTAATTTTCAGATGAAGATGACCCAGTTCAACAATCGACAAGTAAAAATGCTGCATAAAAAAGTCGTTTTTATATTAATTAATTATATTATATCTAATGGTTTGCTTACATATACTTTATTTTTTTAAAGGGAATCAAAATGAAAATGCACAGGAAGTCTTTGAACAGAAGAATATGCAGTATTCTAATATAAGAACAGAGGATGATTCTCATTTCTTTACTTATTTTACTGTGATCACAGTGGCATGTATTGCTGGATATATAGGTTATCATAACAAGCAGAAGGTGAGTTTGATTTATATACTTCTATATGGTATTTGTATATTATTGTTTTTAACATTTGTTTTTTATTTATAAATTTCTTTATGTTTCAGATACTTGCTATTGTATTAGAGGGTCGAAGATCCAGAAATAATCGTGGTAGACGGCGACCAAGCACAGCTAACTATCGAAAATTGGATTGTACGCTTGAAGAAGCCGTTACATCGCAATGTAACGCTAATGTTACTCATGTCATATATTAATGAGAGTCAAATGTCACGAATTTTATAATATCTATATTATAGTATTGCAAGTGTATAATATATATTTTGTATTTAAGCGCATACGTTCTTAGCATATCATTTAATTTTCTAAAGGTTATTTAATATTTTAGCACATCACATCGATCCGTTACAATAGCAAAATTTGTGTACAATATAATACGTGATGATATAACGTTCGATAATATGGTATTAGAAAGCATATGTAATTATCTACATATATTTTCGATTTAAATTTCAAGTCAAATGCACCATTTAAGTTTTAAAATATGATTTATTAATAATATATTGTTGAGAAATTTGTAAAATTTTTTTCTTTATTGTTTAAATATTCTAAATTTATCAAGCAAAATTGATTGTTTTGACTTTTATTTAACATTTAACATTTTCTAGCTTTTAAATATGTTATCCATTAGCTGTATTTACATAAAGTAGATTGTATATATATATAATATAAAAAAATTTTAATTTTGCTTAATAGGTATCAACATTAATCTATGTGATATTTATTTATTAAGCATCCATCAATTTATAACATTTATTGATTTTATTAATCATAAATTTTATCAATGTTCAAAAATTATATAAATATCTATTTTATTATTGTCAAGTTTTTCCCTTAATTTATTAAAAAATTCATTAAAAATTAAAAGTTTGAGGTTTCACGGTGAACCTTTTTAATGGGACGATCTAAGATACACATTAAAGCAGTTTCGATCGTCTTCTACGAACAACAAAATCGAAAAGCTATATCTGTTTTAAATTTTTTACAGTTATAAATTTTTATTCTCTTGAATGTTTGCTAAAATAATTACTTAGCTTTTAATTAAATGGATTTACATGATATATATATAAAAACAGATTTTTTTCAGCATTATATTCTTTAACATAAAAAGTACCGTCCATTTATATGTAATTAAAATTCAATGTTAATATTGTAGGTTTTTACAATACAATTTATAAATGGATTTAAAATATGTATAGCAAATAAATAATGAAATAAATGGTACTAGAGGATGGACTGGATTTATAAATTAAAAAGCAAATGGATTATATGGTACTCAATTATCATATTATTTCTCGCAAGTTCTCATATTTTATATTTAATTTAGTTTATTTATTATTAATGGAAATAAATAATTATTTATATTAACATAATTATTTGTATGTAGCATTAAATAACTGAATTGCATCGTAATAACTGTCTTCATAATTACTTCTTTACTATTTATACTATTTTAGACAGTTAATATTTTTATCATTTTGGTAACATCTATGTATCATGATAAATTTTGTAAATTATATTACGTTCTAAATTGTGCATATAATGAATATAAGCACATTTACGTGAAGCAGCATCAAAATGCAGACACAACTCGACTTAAAAAATGTAAATAATTTACTATTGAAAATATTGTTTATTAATTAATGTATAGATGTCAACAGAGTTTTTGTGAATTACTTGTATATTTTGATTAACAATTTTTATTTCTATTTTCCTTAATTATATGAAAAATGGCTTCCTTATATAAATCTTATATGAATATAAAAATTATTTGAGAATATTTTGATATGGAAAATAACGTAAAATAAGAAGATAAGCAATATATTATAATAACTTAATTTTTTTTTGTTCAATTTTTCTTTAATGAGAGATTTTTTAATGGAAATTGGGAATTAATTTCTGACGATTAATTTTGAGGAATAAACTTCAATATTTTAGTTAAAGAAAGTTAACTAAAAAACCTATCATTAAAAAAATAAAATATTTTCTGGAATATTTTATATGCATACCTAAGTCAAAAAAATAATATGCTCGAATTTCTACTTCTTTTGAAATAATGTACCATTGGTTATAATAACATTAAAACATACACGTTTTAATCAACGCTGACTGTTTCACCAAACGATCACAGCGTTATCGCAAACGCAACAAAAGTAATTATATGGATGATAAAATAAAATTGAACGTTGCCTATGAACATTCGTCAACATAACTTGAAAATATTAAATCTTTTTGTATTTTAGATTGCTTGTGTATTGTATTTGACTCTGTGAATAAATTATTATGAACGCATAGCATTTGTTCTGATAATAACGACGAGAATAACGAGGTTTTTGTGAAACTTGCACATTTCGAATATACTTCAAAGAATATCTTTATTTCGAATATATGATTAAAATAAATAAAATTTAATTTTAAATTTTACGTTTATTTCTATTAATATTTGTTACATGAAGTCTATCTATCCGTGCAGTAAATGCCGTCGTTGGAGTGATATTTTATCCAGTTCAGATAATCCGTGTTTTTCACATATATCCCAGGGATTCCAGGATCGGCGCATCCGATACCCCAGGAGACTATCCCTGTTGGAATGATGGAGAAGATAATCTCACATGAATGAATTAAATCCTGTGACATAATTTATGGATAGACGTGATCTCACGAGATGATTTCTTTTCCATCAACAATCAATATTCAATTTTTAAAATATGATAGCAAGATATATGTACGTTAAAGGGAAACTCTGCGTTTCAGTATTATGCATAGTTATACAGGGTGTTAAGAAAAATCGTCTACAAATGCTTAGAGATGACAGAGGAAGTTAAAAGGAACATTTTTTCTCAAGTCATTAAGTTTCGCAGATTCGTCATTTTTGCGCTTGCATGGGCAATTATAATAGTATTGAAAGTCGCTAATTCTTGCTTACGTCATATCCCATTGTCTGTGGATTGACAGAAGTAGGCTTGTAAAGCGTTTGTAAACGATCTTTCTTAACACCGTGTATAGAAAAAACGTTATAGTAGAAAAAATGTTGAAAATAATGTTTAATTATTTTAAAAATAATATCTCTCTATAATATTTTGTCTTTATTAAGATGGGAAATGTCTTATATAAGAATTGATGACACTCTTACCAATTATTTCATACTTTCCATCCATTTTTTCGTACATGAGAGGTCCACCGCTATCACCCTAAAATTTTAATATTATTAATATTATTGAAATGCAAAATACATATATATTTATTGAGAAAAATTGACAATATATGTAACTTGACAATTTTTTATGTTCACTAATTTTTAAATCGCTCATAGGATATAATATGAAGAATGAAATAAAACTTTTAGGAAATTAATTTCTTCAATGATATATGTACAAAAATTATATACAGGTATGATATTATTTTGATCCCAGAATGCATTAGAGAATTAAATTGATTATGATGTGAGACAATACCTGACACGCATCTTTATTGTCACTATAAGCACAAATCATTGATTCCGTGAGATGCTCTCCAAATGAAGTATTCCTACATGCGGCCCAGGACATCACTTTTAAGGTAGCTTGACGCAGAAATCTGGACGTATCTCCTTCCCTACGGACACGTCCCCATCCAGTAACTTTGACATAATGTCCCTCGTAATCGGATTCTATCATTGAAAATTTATTTGTACTACTCTTTTCTATATTTGTCAGAAATTTTGGAATATATATGAAAGAGAGTTATAAATATTTTTATAAATCTTTTCTTTTTAATTCAAACGTTTGTTCAAATATTAAATATTATAAAAAGCTAAGGAGAAAGCTGACCTTTATGCGGGAGACATATAGGTTTCACATTTTCATTTATTTCAATTGGATGCTGTAGCCGAATCAGGGCAATATCGTTTATATCATGGAGGTCGTCACTTTCAAAGTTTTCGTGTAAGATTATTTCATCGATTTGAGCTATATATCCCTCATTTAAATTTTCAATGTCGTGCATTCCTATGCCGACTGAGAGATCGGCAGCGTGAACCCTACGCAACTCGCAGGAAAACACGATAATTAAAATTATTATTTATATGACGCGTTACATCTACGATGATATGATTGTCTTATTATATAACACAAATAATAATATATCTAATAAAATTTGTTGAAATCTTTTGCTCTAGAAATATTATTATAAACGTTTCATATTGAGAAAGTTAATATATTTAAAGTTAATATATCTAAATTTTAGAATTTTATTTTATATAATGTTATTTTTTTGTTTAGATCTCTCCAATATACTTCTTAATAATTTATCAATATCTATCATGAATCAGTTATTAATATTACATATATAAATATGTATTGTGTATCTCTTCCGAGAAACTATATGATAATAATTATGACGATTCTACTTTAAATATGTTTATTCGACTTTTTAAAAGAGAGAAGTACGGAAAAGCAAATAAGATACCACTTAACACAATGTCCGGCAGTTAACACATATCGATCATTAATCAATGTGCCTCCGCAATGAAGAGCTTTTTTGTTGAATATTACCACGACCCAAGGAAATATGTGCGGGATTGTTATTTTTCCACCGACAATGCGATTTGATATTCCTCCCGATACTCCACATTCTGTTACAAAGAGATTAATAAAATTTTATATATACAATATATAAAACATATGATAAATGTGTACAATATTATGCGGTATATATCGTATACTTCTCTATATATACTCTGTGAAATTTTTTAAACAAATTTAATTGTGGACTTTGTCAACTTTTTTTATTTTGTGATTCTGTAACATATATATGATTTTACATTCGTTTGTATTATTATTGTTTTAAAGTCCGATTAATGTAGAATTAATTGAATTGAATGGAAATGTTTGCTGAACAAAATAATAAAGTGCTCCAGAATGACAGCAATTTACAGTTAGTGTCTATTCACTTTTCGTGCAAACGAGAGCTTCGTTGGACGCATATGCGTGTATTACTTGCATAATTTTGATCATTACCACAATTCGGATTTACTCGTAAACGTAGCTGACGTTTCCATGCGCGTGCCGCCTGAAAATGAGCACAATGTAATTATTCGGCAAATCATGAATTATCAGCCATATTCCGTTTTCGTGATAATTTCACTTAATTACTCTCTCAACGAACGTCTAGGATCAGAAGGACACCAATCGCGGCCATCAAAATTAAGTGGAACTTCATGCTGCGCGACTCTTGCGACATTTCATCTGCTGAAACCGCCGCGACTACTGAACGCGATACAGAGAACACTCCGTTCTATATTAATCTACGAATAACAACGGTACCAATTTAGGTGCCGAACTATCATCAAACGTTTCGCCTTGTCGGCGTTTCATATCGCAAGGACCATGTACTCGTAAATCGACATTCTTATTAACGCTTGGCACATCGAATGGCAAATTCTAACGAATGCTCGCGCAATACAAAATACACTGCAAACCTATACTATTCAAATTAATCATAGAAGAAAGATATTGTAGACATAAATGCTATAATATATTTTATAAAATAAATAAAATATTCTTCTCTTCTCTTTTATGATAATAAAAATTTCATATACGTATAAAAATTCCTTTATAATAAAATTTTTGCAGAAATGGAAGAAAATACTATTTCACATTTATTTATAACAGGTTTGTAATTGAATAATGTTTCTGATGTAACTCAATATGAATTTTATCTAGACTTTTATATCAAACGTTATCTTGTTCAGGAAATTCTATGGAGTTTTTACGGATCACCGGCTCTTCTCATCTTGTATATATGTGTGTGTATATGTGTGTGAAAGCGTTATAAATGACTCTCAGAAAGGCAGAAAGAAGGGCGAGTGTGTTAAGATGGTATATGGGCGATAAATTCTTATAAGAACTTCCTATAGTGATTATGCTTGTGGCCAAAGTTAGTGTATAAAGAAGAAAACAGAAGATTTGGGATTCGGCGTAAAAAAAGAAAAATCAGAGAAAATAATTGCTTTTTCTCTATGATATTTAAATCTAGAATGTGCAATAAATGTATATAAAGATAAGAATTATTTCATTAATAGTTGCAGAATAATTTTACGATGCAACATAAATAAAATTACAATTTTAACTGCATTATTATTGCCTATACAATTTTTAACATGTCTTGAGCTTAAAGTTAAGTGAACGTTTATCGGCAAATTATTATTTTCTTGCCTCCTTCGTCAGAGATACGAACGAAACTTGGCACCGTTCTTGTAGATATCGTATCATAGACGTCATCGATCAGGTCATATAGAGCCGGGAGTTTTACGAGAACATTTTATGAGTTATGTACAACAAAAACGCGGTCAACGTAAATTCTAGGTTTATGTAGTATATCAGTTGATAGATGTTTGAGGTATCACGGAAAATTTGTAAATATTTGTGGATAGATGTTGAGAAATTCGCAAGAATAGTCATGTAATAATTTTATTTTATGCATTTGCAAGTGACGTTTGCTTGTTTATTTCTTTACCCGCCTCTTATCGATAAACGTTGTAGGTAATGATTATAGAATTATATGTGATATTATAAAGATTCTATATTAGTTGTATTAACGCCAACAATATTTAGAATCGCGTTTTGTTATTTTCAATATCCATGAAACCATTTGCGCGACATCCGTGAAAAAATCTGGATAGTTAACGTTGGCGCATAGTACTCCATTTGAAGTAATTCCTACAAAATAAATTTTATTAATTCCATGTTACATATATAGTTACCGAATTATTATTTATGCTATAACTCACCTATTAAAATATATTTATGATTGTCGTTTAATATCTGAAGAGGACCGCCGCTATCACCCTGAATTATACAATTTTCTAATATAATAATATTTTACTTATTTTATTTTTGTGTAACTTTTCATCAATTAATACGATTAATTCATATAATAATGTGATTAATAATTCAATAATTAAAAACAAAAATCAGAGGAATTATTAAATTTTAGAGCACTCATATAAATTTATATACTCAAAAATTAAAAAAATAATATCTGTATCTTTAGAAATATTATATATGAGAAATATATATATAATGTTAATATAAAAATAGAAATTAAATTATGTCTAAATAATAATGTTATAATTGATTAAGTACCCCGCAAGTACCGCGCGGTGATGTTTTATATCCTGCGCAGATTAAACTCAAGATATCGGTAGGACATTCCGATTTTTTAAACAATGTTAAATCCACTATACGCAAACCACATTTTTTATTAAATAATGTATCAGTTTCTGAGAATCCCCAGCCGAGTGCAGATGCGGATTGTCCTCCAAATCGAGAGACAACGTCAAACCCTGTACAAAGAAAAAAGTTATGGGCAATTATTAATCATTTTATTTAGTTGTAAATTTTCTTTTTTGCAGATACATGTATGTATATTAATATATATCGTATATAATAAGATTATAATGATTACCAGGTTTTGGTAAACAAATTGGTCTAACGAATTTGTTAAAGGAAATTCGCATAATTAGTTTAACCAGCATAATATCGGCAAAATGTGTTTGGCTATCATAATTTGGATGTGGAAAAATATTCTCAACAGAAAAGATCGTACTCTTCGCATCCCATTTGCATGAATCATGAGCACCGACAGTTACTTTCAGATCATCTTTATTGAAACTATGAAATACAACATTAGTAACTATACATATTTTATTTATTAATTTTGGACAATTTTTCTGTGAATATAATTTATTGGTGTAAAACTACATATTATTTAATTTATATACGGATTATCGTAAGAAATAAGAATCTTTTTATGTATATTAATTATTATACAACATATATATACCCATAAACAATGCAGTGAGCTGCTGTTAATACATAACGATCGTTTATAATTGACGCTCCACAGATTACTCGTGATCTATTGACGCTTATAATACCAGCCATCCAAGGATATTCATTTTCAGAAACTTCTTGTCCCCCAATTATTCTGGATGACAATGAAAATACATTTCTCTTTCCGCATTCTAAAGCATAATTATTATATAAGCAATATTCTTATAACAGTTTAATTGCATTTACGTATTTTTATAATAGCTTATAAGTTTATCTATTTTTTTATTTTTTTATATGTATATAAATCATAAAATATTCTAAATAGTTTATTTACTGCATTTTGATTTTTATCAGAAGATACGCACTAATATCAATATTAAGAACTTTTATAAGAAATAAAATATAATATAATATAAAAATAAAATATGATATATATAAATTGTGTGTGATATACAACAATTTATAATAACAATTTAATATTTAATTTAATTTAATATTAGTAGAAATACTTTATCATTATTTTCTTTTATCATGCGCGAAATTTTATAATTTTATTCAAGATAAACCTTACCACAATATTCATAATCAAGATCTTCATAAGATGTATCCGTATGTCGATTCACTCGTTTATACCATAGTAATGTGTTTGCATACTTAAATATTAGACACAACAAACTAATTAGTATAAGATACTGCATGTGTAACTAAAGAAAGACTTGACACTTTTACACTAAGACGAGTCTTACTGAACTGACATGTGCTACTTAAATGCGCGCTGTAAATATTTTAATGTCTGTAATATTTCAATGTGTATGACTGTGCTGTAAACTGCGGACGTGGTTTAACCCGCTAATATTTCTTAGATAAGATAATGCTTAAGGTTTCAACTGTTTCCTAATGTGATTAATAATTCAATAATTAAAAACAAAAATCAGAGGAATTATTAAATTTTAGAGCACTCATAAAAATTTATATACTCAAAAATTAAAAAAATAATATCTGTATCTTTAGAAATATTATATATGAGAAATATATATATAATGTTAATATAAAAATAGAAATTAAATTATGTCTAAATAATAATGTTATAATTGATTAAGTACCCCGCAAGTACCGCGCGGTGATGTTTTATATCCTGCGCAGATTAAACTCAAGATATCGGTAGGACATTCCGATTTTTTAAACAATGTTAAATCCACTATACGCAAACCACATTTTTTATTAAATAATGTATCAGTTTCTGAGAATCCCCAGCCGAGTGCAGATGCGGATTGTCCTCCAAATCGAGAGACAACGTCAAACCCTGTACAAAGAAAAAAGTTATGGGCAATTATTAATCATTTTATTTAGTTGTAAATTTTCTTTTTTGCAGATACATGTATGTATATTAATATATATATATACAACAATTTATAATAACAATTTAATATTTAATTTAATTTAATATTAGTAGAAATACTTTATCATTATTTTCTTTTATCATGCGCGAAATTTTATAATTTTATTCAAGATAAACCTTACCACAATATTCATAATCAAGATCTTCATAAGATGTATCCGTATGTCGATTCACTCGTTTATACCATAGTAATGTGTTTGCATACTTAAATATTAGACACAACAAACTAATTAGTATAAGATACTGCATGTGTAACTAAAGAAAGACTTGACACTTTTACACTAAGACGAGTCTTACTGAACTGACATGTGCTACTTAAATGCGCGCTGTAAATATTTTAATGTCTGTAATATTTCAATGTGTATGACTGTGCTGTAAACTGCGGACGTGGTTTAACCCGCTAATATTTCTTAGATAAGATAATGCTTAAGGTTTCAACTGTTTCCTGTAAAATGTAATGAATTGTTTAAATATGCGAAATGTTTGAACATCATAAAATTATATGCTTGCAATTCGACTGTGACTTTTAGATTATTTTAAATGTGAAAATGTTTAAACAAATATGATGCTTCTTATATTTAGTAGCACATCAAAAATATTTTTACTTTGACAATATTACAATATTGACGATATTATATACACAACACATTAATATATAACATGTTATTTTTTTATTTTATGCATATTTTATATATATAAATATGTATATATAATAACAAAGAGTGTATACATATATACTTATGCATTTAAACCCATATTATTTTAGTTTGAGATACTTTGATATGAAAAATGATTTCAGATGCTTTCTTTAGAATATAAATTATAGCAACAGATATACATCAATAATAAATATTATTATCAATATATTATATTTATGGAATAAAACATTTGCATAGCATGATTAAGAAAATTAGCATGTTATTATTTGGTACAATAACACGCATCTTTAGTGTGTTGCAATATCCAATCGAGGCGCGGACCAATTTTCGTAAAGACAGTTGGTCTAGTAACATTATCGCATTTATTTACGCTTGGAATAATACCTGTAACACATATAATATATATTTTATTGGCAATATATTTCTTCAGTTTCTCAAAAGTTAATATTTGACACGTCAATCATGAAATATGTACGTATAATTGCGCGTTCGGTTAAGATTTATAAATCGAGATTCAAGTTTGTATAAAATACATAAAAAAAGTTATCATTAAAAATTATTATTAAATATAGTTGTATATTTTTTAAATGTAAATATTTCTGATAACTTTATATTTTTTAATATTTTTTCTATCTAATCATTTTTGTTAACAACAAACAGTTATACTTACCAATAAGGTCATAAACTCCAGAGTATGATCGATATTGCACAGAAGACCCGATATCATTCTACAGATATACAATATTATTTTTTGTTTTATTAATGTTTAATTAAATGTAAGTGTTATTCGTGTTATAGTAAATTTATTTTAATTATAATATTTTAAAACAATTAATTTAATACAAATTATTGTAAATTGAGAAAAATGTCATTATTTTGCATTATCTGCGTTTATTCAACAAATTCAAACACACTATTCAAGAGTATATTTGTAATAAAATATATTTAATTTACCTCGCACACCAGAGAACTTGTACCCACAACGCCGATGCATCCGTAATCGTCATTGAAATTCGTCGGATTCATTCCTGATTTTATACATTCGTTATATCCTAGAATGGGAAGTCCTAATTTTCGTGGTCTACATGTCCAAGTGTCAATATCATCTTCGGATTTGCTTATAGTCCAGCCACTTAAAGTTCCAACTTGGCCAAGATAAGTTGATCCTATATATATAATTCAGTGTCTCTTATTATAAAAATTCGTGAATATCTAAGAAATAGAATATATATCTTGTGGAACATATAAAATATATATTCTATTTTTTAGATAATTACAAATTTTTATGATGTAAATCATAAGACCGGACAAACCTGGATTAGGTAAACATACTGGCGATATTCTTTTCTCAAATTTAGTTGGCCGACTTAAACGAATTAAAGCTAAATCGTGAGTATGCGAATCCGGATTGAATTCTGGGTGCAAAGTTATGGATTCAACGCTAACATTTACTGATGAAACGTCCAACGTGCATCTGTCATATTCTCCCAAGGATATTTTTATTTCGGGTGCTGTTGTTCTATCGGAAAAGATATTAATTATATATGAATTGTTCAAAAGAAAAACAAGTCTATATAATTTCTCTCTGTACAAACCCAATAACTTGGCTAGCTGCTGTCATGACATAACGATCATTTATTAATACTCCACTACTTATCTTGGATTTTGCGTGAATATTTGCAAGCCAGGGAAATTCATGCGATTCTGTATATTCACCACCCAATAATCGCGTTGCTTTACGATTTGGTCGGCCGCATACTACGATATAAAATATCGAAAAAATATTTTATCAAATATTGTATATAATTTAGATTAAATGTATACAAGAAAAACATCATAAGTCATAAATGATTAAGATAATTAATATGCGAAACTATAAACAAAATATATTTTCAATAAAAAATGCAATAATATTTGATTTACACAGTTAAAAAAAATTGATACAGAGAGGAAGCTCTTAAGAAAGTACTTGTAAAATTTCAAAAATATTGAGTTTTAAGAAATTTCTTATATTCTTTGCTTTGTGATTTAAATTTATATTATAACAAACACTCTCTCTCTCTTTAATTGTAAAATAATTATTAAAGTTACTCACAACAGGCACCACAGGTTCGGAACCTTCCAAAAAGTAAATCCAAAACACTGCGTTCATGTCTGGATGTAATTTGATCATCGATCTAGTCAACAAATGCATTTACGAATTCTCATATTTATAAGTTTTATTTGATGTATTTATAACAATACTTTTTTGAATAAAGACGAAAAGACGAGAAATATAAAAAAAAAAGTTATAAAAATTATTGTAATCATTACTCAACAGAATGGAAACGTATAGACATATATTAGAAAAATTTTTAATATTTTCCGCTAATGTCAAATGTATACAGTTTAAAAAAGTGTGTAGAAAGATCGTGCGTGAAAATAGATTATTATAACAGAATTTAATGTAGTAAGACTAATATGAAGAGACTTACGGAACGGAGAGGAGAAATGATGATGCTTTTGTTGCAAAAGGTTGTACCGAAATTCACTACGAAAATACAAACGAGATATTTGACATAATCTTGCAGCTTCATGACTTTTCTGTCGGTAGTCGAAGCAGTACTGGTCTTCGCTCAAGCAACTGGTTTGCGTCGTATAGCGAGACTATCATCGCCCGCATCCCAGAAAATCCTCGAGAATGTAAAGTGTACATCCCCCATATTCCTTATGTTCGCATTCAAATTCGCATTTGCCGGTTTTGTCCTTGTATCTGTGTGTATGTGTGTATTCATTTCGTTCTCTTTTATATTTCATTTTGCCTTAAAGCCGGTCAGTAACCGGTTCGCTGATCCCGTTACATGTTTTCCGGTATTGCGACCAGTATGTCAGTTAATATCAATAAAATTTGTCTGACAGCTCCGACATTTGAAAAAGTTTAGAAATAAATTTTGAGCCCATAATACAAAACCTCCACATTTATATTAATTTTTATATATGTGACATCATTTAATTAAACCGGTTATTTTATATGTACTTCTATTAAAATTTTTTTACGATTGCTTTTAGCTATACATCTAATATAATAAAAATACATGTTTCTTTAGAAAATAAGAATATTTAAATTTTAGATATATATAATTGTTAGGTAGATAATGGATATAATAATATTTATCTTAATCTTGTAAAATTATTATAGCCTAAAAACCAAAATTAAAAAAATCACGGAATGTAATCAATATTACATTTTATGAAAAAAATACGTGATATATATAAATGCATTTAAAAATAATTTTTTATTCAAATTTTTATTGCATTTTTATATAAAGTATTCTAATAATAAACATTTTTCATAAAAGATATAACACTGGTAGCTTAAATCTACAATCTCAATCTCACTATAGTTAATTTCCTTGGTAGTAAAATGGAATATTTTAGCCTTTGGCTATATTTGAGCAATAATAAAATAATTATACAGTATAATATTATTTTCACAAAAATTTTTTCTGGTAACATAATTAACATTACAATGATATTTCTCTGTAATATCATTTGTATTTATACATTGATTGCCTATATCGCTTAATAGATAGATACAAACGACGAGAAAATAATAATAATAAATCGAGAATAGAGAGAAAATGAGAAAATAATATTATACGAATGTTTAGAGTATTTTATCCGTCCATCAAAGCTTTGAGTCTAACACAATATTATTCATAATCATTCATTGTCAGATAAATTATGCATTAAAAATACCGTCAACGAGATATCATTTTTATCCTGAGAATATAGCACAGGTTCAAAGAACATACGGCAGTATGCAAATATCCTTTTGTTTGCTTTTCATCGTATCAACCATTAAAGAGCGCTGAGTAATCATCTTCAGTTGTGTTCACAGAAACAGCCGTCCTTTGAATTCTTCAAAATCCAATCCATATACCGTGTGACCCTTGTGTACACACCTGGATAACCAGGTCGAGCGCATCCATTACCCCACGACACAACGCCAATGAGCTCATACTTCTTGTCCTCGCGTTCCGCTACAAGGGGTCCACCGCTGTCTCCCTATAACATAAAAGAACTATATCGCACACTTGACTACTTCGATAATATCTTTTTTTGTTATTGTTCTTTTAATTTTATTAATTATATATATTTCAGCGATAGTTACTTGACATGAGTCCTTTTTTCCTTCTAGGTAACCCGCGCATAGCATATTGTCCGAGATCATTCGGGGACTATAGCTGGTATTGCGGCATGCTTGAAGACTCATGACTGGAACTTCGACTTCCTGGAGAAGACAGGACGGTTTGCCATCTTCTTTTAATGTGCCCCAACCTGATGCGATGGCATTTACCCCTACGTAATCATTATCTGAAAGGTAATTCTATATTACATATTATAATAAATAATTAATAGCAATTTTCTATACAAATAACAATACAATTAATAAAATATTTTTCTCAACATTTTGTCTAATTAATTTATTCAATTTGATAATATAATTGCATATATAAATATATAATTAAAACATATATAAATATATGATTAAAACTTCCATCAAAAAATGTATAATTATTTTTTATTAAAAATATAAAATACGAATTATATGAAAATTATTTAAAGAAAAAATTGAGAGTTTTTGAATATATGAATCTATTATATAGTTTATATATATTATCGGTGCGAATATGTTTGCAGTAAATTAGTGCGCTTATAAATGTACCATGTCATTGCATGTTAACAAATTGAAGAAGTATTATTGCGTGCATTTAAAATGCAAATTTAAGGCCTCGATTTCAGACAGAAATCTTTATTATTACGCAGTTATGTGTATGCTACGATGATGCATTACAGTTGAGAGAGTAGGTACCCGTATACTAACTGATTTATGACTCGGCTATCGTAATCGTTGTATAATAAACATGACGGTTAGTCGTAGAGCGCGCATATTATTGTTCAATATTACGCTCGATTATGAAAAACCGTATTCGTTAAAATTAACAATTGCGGATACGCTAATTTAATATCGATCGAGCATGAAATTATGAGTATATGTCGAAGGTAGATATCGATAACGCATTCGACATATAAGACTATGGCTCTTATATATAGATACATGTCTTCAGCGAAAACTTTGTCGTGATAAAGTTAGAAAAAACATAGAAATTATTCAATATATATCGAGTTAAGATCGGATAATGTTTATAATAATGATGGTTATTTAATTTTTTTAATGTATTAATTTCGAAATTTATAGCAATATCTTCATAAGATATAATCTCGTTATTTTATCGCGTTTATATGTGTGTATATTTATATTTATATTTATATTTATATTTACA